TCCCTCCCCCTCTCTATTTGTATTTATTTATCATTATTATTTTTAAAAATTAACTTATTTAATAAACAGTCATATGGTGCTTACTGCGTGGTAGACCCTATGCTCAGTGTTTTACAAAAATGAACTCATTAAACCCTCGCCACCACCTTCTGGGGGAGATGTGGCTGTAGAAATCAATTCTAACACATGTGGGTGTTTTATTATTATTTTTTTAACCCCATTTGAGCATTCCTCTGCAGGAGTTTGATTGGCAGGGCTTTCTTTTCTGACGGAGCATGAAGTTAAGGTGCCCCTTTCAGTGGACGATGCCTTGGACTTGATGCACGCGAGGGGTCTGAGACCATCCGTCTTGAGTCAGGCTCGTCACGGCCCCGCTGGACTGTCCCTGTTCTGGGTCCCCATCTCTCCAAGTGCTCCCCGACTCCAGCCCACTGCTGATGCGGGGCGAGACGGCCTCACCGCGATCTCTACCTCCGGCTGGCTCCCTCTGGGCCTCCACCCCACCTCTCCCTCCAAATTCTGGCACTTCCGGCCACGTGGGACTCGCCTCTGTGCACCTGGCTCACTTTCTCCCCCGACCCCTGCACGAGGCGAGCCGTTCCTTCTTCAGTCCCAGCTCTGGGCCTGGCTGAAGGTCTCGGCTCAGACGTTGTGTCTGGGAAGCCACCTGTCCTTGGAAAGTCACCTCCAGAGAGGCGGGGACAGCCCGCCCTGCTTCTTCTCTATATCCAGGGCCTGGAGCAGTGCCTGCGCATAGTAGGTGCTCAATAGACGGGCTAAGACAGTGAACATGGCCTCCCCCTGCCCCTTTAGCTCTCCTGTCCCAGAAGCTGTCACACTGAAGGGTCCCTCTCTGTGTGACTGTCCCTCCCACTGGCTGAAATCCATGGGGGCGGGGGTGTGTCCGCCTTCCGCGAAGCTGTACCGTGAGATCGCGCCGCCCACCCCTGGGCCCTCACCGTGCACGATGAGGTAGACCTGAGTGGTGTAGGGCTGGTGGCGGGTCTGGAAGGAGCAGGTGTAGAGGCCCTCGTCGCCCAGCCCCACCTGGGTGATGAGGATGGAGAACTCCTCGGGCGTGTTGATGAGCAGCCGCACCCGCGGGTCGCTGGTCCAGCGGTC